AGAGCCATTTGATCCGTGGGCTATGACTGCGGCCCATAAAACACTCCCCTTTGGGACTAATGTTAAGGTGGATTGCAATGGAAAGAGTGTAGTCGTGAGGATCAACGACAGGGGACCCTTCGTTGCCGGACGTATCCTCGATGTGAGCCAAGGGGCCGCACAGCACCTTGGTATTATTGATGCAGGACTATGCCAATGCTCTATCCATAATGTTTAATGTAAACGTAAGCTTTCCCTCGATTAAGTGGACGTGGGCTCAACATTCAATATATTTTTAATTGTTTTTCTTATAATTACAGTTATTTATTATAGTAAAATTAAAAATTTATTTATTTGTGAATATTCAATAATAATAATAATCTTTTATGATTATATACAGTAATTATCCTCCATAATTATAATAATTTGTTTATAATTAGTATACAGTAAATTAAAATTTCCAAAATTATTAAAATTTATTTAATTTTATTAATATTAAGTTTTATAAACTCAAATCATTTACTATTTATAGTATAATTTAATTCATATTTATAAATTATTTAATAAGTTATTCTTTAAAAGTTATGCCATAAAATTATTTAATAGCAAAGTAATAATTATAATATCAATTATTCGAGTGGTTAGGAAAATTACAGAAATATCTGTTATCTAAAATTATTAGTTTCATTAAATAAATATGTTTTATTATTTAAATAAGTTACGGAAAATTTTATATAAAACAAATATTATAAGTATTTATAAAAAAAAGGATTTCCTAATACAGTAACTATTTTGTTGCCTATGTGTGTGTTATTATTTGACTTCTTATCCCAAAAACACCTGTAATTGTGCATCAATTCTCAATGATTTAAACTTTGATTTTCTATAAATTGTCTATAAATATGAATTTCAATTTGATTCAACAAGCAATAATTGCTGATTGTCGAAACATAAAACCATGAATAAGTTTATAGTGTTTGGGTTTATTGCAGTCACTCTGCTCTGCCTCGTCTCTGGTCAGTCATCTAAACATATATTTTGTACATTTAATTAATAATTATTTTTTAAGGTGAGTCTGGTATCTGTTCGTGGTATGGGGTAGGACTGGATGGTCAATACACAGCGAGTGGTGAAAAATATTATGGCAACTTAATGACAGCCGCCCATAAGACATTGCCGTTTGGCACTCATGTTAAGGCTACGTGTAATGGCAAGTCTGTGACCGTTAAGATCAATGACCGGGGACCTTTTGTGGCCGGACGTATACTGGACCTGAGCGTAGCAGCCGGTGCTGCCGTTGGTATTAAGGACAGCGGTCTCTGTCAGTGTACTGTTGTCACCGTTTAGTCAATATTTTTTTGACAATAAGCTTATTATTATTAAAGTTAAAACAATAAATTTGTATTGTTTTACATTGCGAGCTCACAATTAAAACAATTTAAAATAAACAAAATCGTTGTAAAATAAATTCTCTACGAATGAATTTACTTTTGTCAAATTTGTGAATAAAATCAATTCAGATTACAAATAAAGATGATTTTACTTTTGGCCTCAATTTTATGTAAGCTTAACATTATGTTTATTGTTATTAAAGTTTAATTAATTATTTTTAGACTTACACCAAATGATCATATTCTGTGAATCAGTAGACTTTTGTAAAGAATTCAGAAGCAATAACAACAGAATTAGTTTTGGTTTTCGACACATTCATTCTGAATACAAGTCTCACATGTATTTAGTAATCGACCGTTTCTTCTGGACATTAAAATACGACAACAAATGGTTGGCCTCTAATATCGTCTCTTTAGACACAAATGCTGGTGAAGACAACGATTTGTTTTGGGATCAGTTCGGTATTGCCTTCACTATAATCAATCACAATGGACGCGGTTTCAGGACTGCACTCATTCCTGTAAATACCTATAAATTGTGAATTGAATAATAATATTCATTAAAATAATATAATTTTGTTAGAGAATTCAAAATAAGATCTATTGGGTTGAGTTTGAAGGCAAATATATTTCTAAATCAAAGTGTATTGGCTCTCAACATATTGAATTTGACACTTTTAAGCCTTGCATAGCATTTGCATTGAGTTATATAAATCATAATTCAAATATTATTTATTTTTTGGAACAAAGGCCGCAATATTCCGGAGAATTTATGAGAAAAGCTAAATATTTTCAATTTATTTCTAACGATAATAACTTGACTTCAAATGTTAAAATTGATGCCAAAAGTGTTATGTCTGACCACATGAAAGCTATCGATGAGTTGAGTCCCAAACTTAAAGTGATTGCAGTCTTCAGTCTTGGAAATGATTTTCTGGCACCAAATGTTACGATCAAAACACAAAGTTTTCAGAAATATATTTTAATACTCTTTCAAATGGACCAGATCATCAAATACTGTGTCACAGATTTTGAAAAACTCAGTAATTATGTAAATATAAACAAATTTATAGAAATATCAATACTTTAATATAGAATTAAACAAAATTTATTTAAATAGTGTGAAGAAAAGCGATTAAAAGTATTGGTTGATTGCTGTCATCCCAGATATACAGGCCATGGATGTTTGGTGACGTTTTGGTCTCGGCCTCTAATCACCAAGCTTATTGTTTTGATTATAATATGTTTTGTCATTTTAAGTACTCTTATAATCGGTTTTAGATTACTTCAGCACTTTTGGCTCCAAATTCGTGATCACTTGTCATTCAATGTTAATATCAATATTAATCTCCAAATGCCAGATATTCATTTATAATTTACTTTTAAAAGTTGATTCTGGTTCTAAATAAAATCTCAAATCCGAATTCTTAAATAAATTTATTATATAATATTATAAAAATTAGTTAAAAATAGAAAGTATA